CATCCCAGATTTCCTCATTTCTGTTAATTTTCGTCTCCTAACTTTCCCTTAAATATACATTGGATTGAACGCTTTCTATCACAAATGGAGCAAAGTGGAACTAAAAGCATCTATGACATTAAACGTGGAAGTCTTGAAATACATGTTGAAGCTATGGAAAGTATGCTAAATTTAATGCACAAACTATAAACTGTCATGCGCTAAGATGGAGATGCTTAATTGATATCACTTACTATTCACTTCTAGTCACACAACCGAACACACTTTTGTTTTTACAGTTTGTGTTCTATTAATTGGACGTGTTGATGCGTGATCACCATTAGCTAAATTTAATCAGTACCATTAAAAATAGAAACTCTTAATTTGCCAAATTAGAAAAGATTTTTTCTAATATGGCATTTTTCGTGCCTTGCTTAATGGAGGTCGATAATTGACGTTATAACGAATTGTGCTGTCCTCAATGGTTCATATTTAATAGAGAAGAATATTATCCGATTTGGTCTGACTCTTAATCTTAAGTGGTGTTACCAAGTAAATGGATACAGATTCTAATATGTCCAATATTAGCTAATACTGCTTGCCTAGTGTGATGGTGTAATAATAGCACATGTTTGTACTGTATAGTCATTTTAAGTAATAGTAAATATGAATGAAATAGGGTTTAACCCCTTCGTCCTCTGCACTGATCATTGTAATGAATATGGTGTGCTATTGTGCTAAGACACCAATTGAATTCGAATTGTCAACGGCCCCTTTACCTACACGCCAAGGCGTTTTAGTCCCAACGAACGACTCGACGCTGTTGCTCCCAAGGACTTCCGTCAGGCAAAGTATCAAACTTACATCACGAACTTATTATACTATCCCTTGCAACTTCCATTATTTACACTTATATATATCTAATCTTATGTTTAGATTTTATTTTTGTTTTAGATTTTTTTTTTATTATACAGAAGTTAGAACATTACAGCATGATATATCATTCTTCCCATTTATCACTGTTTCAAGAAATAAATTAACGAGCCCTAGGTTCTGAAACTGGCCACTATGGAAAACTAAATAAATTGTATTGAACTGGAATTTCAAAAAATTGAAATGTAGCCAATTTTAATACATCTATCCATATGTGTTCTAAAACCACAGCCGTTCAAACACCCGAAAGGCTGATACAGACTCATCCCAAGGGCAGATATGTTTAAGTGGCCATTTCCAATACATTACATTGTAAAGTACCCTGTACTCTCAAGGGAAGCGCCGCATCGCAGAGAGACTGTCAGACAATAACACCAAAAGAAACATACAACTCTTGAAATTGAAATATAAAAAGGCAACCAATTATATTTACTATATCTAGAGTACTTGATAGACTTATATATTTGGCAAGCCCACATAGTTAAGAGGCTTTTGTTGTGGTTCGCATATCAAGAAAATAGATTACTTCAGTACGATCTAAATCACCCAGGAATGCCTTGAATAATAATAACGAATAGTTCATCTGACTTGCAATCTGTATTACTTGTGATTAGAGAACTGTGCTGGGAAACATTCAGCTACATTGCATCTTAATACAGAAATTGCGCAGCAGAAGAATAGGAATTAAGAATTGCATAACCCAAGCGACTTAAAGACTATGCCAAACTATTTCTAAGCTGCCTGAAAATTTATTTGAATTACGTCGAGATAATAATGTAATTGTGATGATCTGTTTAGTATAATTGTCGTTATTAAACAATTCTTAGATTCCATGTTTATTAAACAGAACTAGAATTGAATCCCCGAATTATTACCGCAAGCATTGTTTTCATATCTGCCATAATAATACTAAACATAGACTGTGGGTTATTCAGCCCTCCCAGTAAGCCCACAGACAGCAAATTCGTCCGTCCATAGTAGTTCTGAAGTCGTTGTCAACAAAACAAGTTTAAAAGGGTTTTTGGCTTTGACAATTAAAATGCGAACGGAGAATAAATTGATTTGCGGCCTAATAATAATAATAGCACTATTATACTTCTTGTAGGAAAATCGAAACGGTTCATCTAGATTGTGCTGTGCAATATGAAACTTGAATCTGGGAGATACGACCTTTTCTAATAGCTTTGATAATAACGAAAGATTAGAGAATATGCGGTAATTTTTAAAAGGATAATTTTAGCAATTTAAGTAACTGATGATTGTTCAGGCTCGGTTATCACAGATCATGTGTATACTTCACTGTCATGAGTGTCATGGGGAGTTGTTATACAACAGCTATCAAACTGGGGTCGCATATTAGATACCTTCTCACAAAAGTGCGACAAATATTGTTCTGCTAGAGCTAAGAATTCATCTAAAACCCTGATTTGTATTGGATTTCCCCTTTTTGACCCAATTTCATAATATATTCTAGTAAGTTATATCAGTTTGTTTGTTTCAGTCCTATGATGGTTATATGGTGAAATTCGATAAGGCCCAAATGAATCATTTTACCAAGAACTTTGCCCTGTATCACGTTCACTGGGTATAGTTTTGTAGACAACCCCAGTTTGACCGCTCTAGAGTAGTTGTCATCCTGGCATTGTATACAAGCGAGATATCAGTAGATAATAACTAATTTAACATTAAGTTAGAATTTCCCCAGATTTTCTTTTAATTGCATAAATATATAATAGAAAACACTAATTATTGTTTTGAGGCATAGCAGATTGGGATTTTTAGACAAAAAAGACGACAGCTTGAAGGCTACATGATGGCCAACTTCAAAGATATTTTGTTTTCTGGTATCTGAATATTTCCTCAAATGCCTGTTGTCACAGTTTGTTATTTTGTTCAGCGGGGCAAATGTTTGTTTGTGAACATTGATTTATCCCGACCCTAACCATGCTATACAAAACGATTTATGAATATGGATGAAATACAAGCGAGAAGATGTCAAGAAGGTTAATTGTTCTCTTTTAAAGTGATCAAACAACCTAAAACATTTCCCAGGATTTTTTTGTCTCTTTGAACTTGAACTTATTTTTACTCCATCGTTGAAACATAAGACAATAATATTTTGGTTGCAGATAGACTTATAAAACTGTCTGTCACTTGCTAGAAGAGATTTAAATAAGCTAATTTCCACCAGAGCACTTTCTAAAGTAAATTCGGATGAGACGGCATTTCCTTTCTTATCCGTTAGACATTGCTGTAACTACCTGGTACTTATGTATGAATAATTAATATCAACGAACAGGTTTTGGAGATTTTATTTCCTTTATACTTAATTAGGAACCCAAAAGATAATCCCGCTCACCAGATAAACACATAACATATACAACACCGACATTGTAAGTAATAAAAAATAATATAATCAAATCTATAAGGTTCCATAAACGTGAATTTAGGACTTTCCTAAAACTGTACTATCCCTAAACATGATTATTACTGCTCAGACATTTTGCACCGTTGTCCTGCAAATCATATATATATTCAAAATGATTTAACAAACAGATAAAACTACACTATTCAATAATTTCGACATGTTTTGATTAATACAGGTTATTTGTATTTGTGGACTATATACCGTAGAGAAGCTGTATTTGTAAACACTAATGACATTTTAGATTACATTTGGAATTAAAAACTTTATAAAACTTGATTGACGAGTTCATGTGACCCCAGGAGGGTGCCGACAGTAAATTTATCGTCTACAAAGAGAATGTATTTTTCCTTGCTTTGTTTTCATGTTTGCTTGTGTCAAAGTTTCCAGTCTTAATTTTCAAGTTAAAGGAAAGTTATAAGGTGGGGATGATTACCTCTAGATAAATGATATCTAGTTGGTTCTGGAATCTGGTAGTCTAACATGTTGAGCACATTTCTCAAGCAGCAGCGTTATCGTGTTAATGTCTCTTGGCTGTTATGCGATTAACTATGAGTTAAATGTTCATGGAGGAAAGGCATTTTATTTTGAAAAAAAGTCATCATACTATTAAAAAACTGATAGGATAATTATAATACTATTAGGAATACACTGTTGGTTTAATGTATTGGGATCATTTACCTACATAATACCATGACATTGAACGTGATACCATAATACTACTATACACATATAGATTATTGTAATTGCTTAAGACAATTGACTTCGTGGATTTGGGAGGTCTGTCTGGGTTTCAAATTCAATTTGGGGTTAATGAGGTGGCTAAGATAGAAGCTGGGTCAGTAGCGTCAAATGTCTGACAATCCATAACCTTTGGTGCCCCCCCCCCCACCCTCAGCTAATTCTTAGAAAAATGGGTACGTCGTTTCCATATTAGTACATTAGTACAAGTGATCAATGAAGTAACAAGTTCCTTGACAAAGAGCTGAGAGGACTCCGATTCCTCAGACATCATGGAGCAACGATGGGGAAATCTTCAAGTTGTTAATATCATAGCTGTACGTGTGGTTTCTATTCTAGTAAAAAGATTGCATAAACAAGGATTTAGAACAATACGGTTTTCCATAGTTTCATTATAGTAAAGGGTTCATTGGAAAGTATGGATATTGAAGTCGATATTGAAGTTCAAAAATTGTAGTGTCAAAACGTTTATTAGCTTCCGTGACACAGGGCCGTAGCTACACAGTGTGGCCGTTGTGCTACAAAATAATGTATCAACTCTTTTTTGACACCCACCACATAAACATCTCATCACTGATGCAGTATGTAAAATTTATATTGCGTATTGATCGACAAGTACACGAAGGCATACCACTAATGAATTAACCTTTTCTGAACTCGACAATTCCTTCATGTTCACTGAAATATTTTTTATTGAACTTGGTTAGCTACTTTACATATACATAATAAGACTAAATTAGTTATCTTCAATGGTCAGTATATGATTCAACATGTTTAATTATTTATTTTCAATGGTCAATATATAATTCAAATTGAAACCAAGCTGTGTGAACAATTCCTCTCTAATGACATCTATAGTTCCTTGTGGTCTTTGTCAGCCGATTCAAAAGCATTAAATTCAATTCGTTCTTTTTCATTTCAGGATGAGGTAAATCAAGTGTTAACTATAAACGTCTGGTTAGAACAGGTGAGTGGATATTTATAAATGATAATATTTTGTTAGCAAACTCACATATCGGTAGGCTACCCCGCACCTCTTGCCACCTGCAAGCCTTAGACCGAAATCACGCCACTTCGCTGAATTATAGAGGTGTATGATCAAATGATTTTGAATAAATTGCGGTGTCTAAGATTGATACAGATCTTATATTTATGGTAGATCAGTCGAATGCTAGCAAGAATATCCTATTCATTCTGTGATATGGTGTTCCACAAGGATCCATACTGTGGGGCCTTCTATTATACAAACTAGGTGCACTGTCCTGCGACCCGATGCAATGTTTCTACATTTTAATGGCATAAACAGTTTAAAAACGATAGCAAGAAAATCCCAACAAATTTCAAAGACAAGACACTATATTTCGCTGTCTCATGTGGACTGACGTGTAATGTAGCCCATACCAAAGTACTACAGCTTTAGCTAATGAGAAGCATTATAAAATCATTTGTTATATAAATAAAATATGTATAATATACTGTAACTGAATAACACAAACTGCAGCTTAATGCTAGTAGGCACTGTCGTGACAGCGGCTATTAGCTTAAGCCACCATGGCAGAAACTGCTGGCTATGTGAATTTTCCCCAAAATCACAGGGCTAGACAAATAAAGTCGTCTTGCGTGGATCAAACATCCGGATCACACCATAAAATGTAGTACAGGTTTAGAAACAATAGAGAAGTGACTTTTTTGGACATTCCCAACCATCTGGGAAATCATATGTCAAACACTTTTTTATAATTAAAAGGATCGATGGTTTTCAGGCGCCGCCGTTATCTTGTAGGTCGAAATTAAGTGATTTCCGGGTTAAATATGATTAGCCTTAAATAAGAAAATAAAGTGCCCAGACTGTATTGTTTTCCGTCAAGTGGCATCTTAATGCCATATTGTAATTTTCGTACATTGCATGTGCATTCAAAGGCTAAAACCTTTAGGGATTCAATAATATTACGTGTCGTCAGTTATCTGCTCTTTCCTAACCTGACCTAATTACGTCCATCATTGTACCAATGAAATGGACCCGTAGGACACTTATCACTGGACCGATGACCGTACTACGTAAAAGAATTTAAAAACCCGATTAACTTGAATGGCGGCAATAGAAAAATCTCTGAAAGCGAATTATCAGGGATGGAGTTCAGATTTTGGTCAATTGTCTTGAAGATATTCCATTAACGTCTGTCAATATTTCAAGATTACCGAAAAACCTCTTGTACTGGGATTCCTTTTAACAAGAACATTATATGCATGGCTTCACAGTATCCGAAGATCGCCATTCTGTTTATGGTAACGAAATAAACCAGCCAATATATTGATCATTATCGTTATAACTCCTACAAATGATTTGGTTTTTGGTTTGGCTTATTTCTACTGGTTTCACGGTAGCATATCTAGGTGTTCACCTACAGATAATATGAGCAAAATACTTGAACTTCAAAGAAATAAAAGGGTTTCAGTTTAAATAAAGGCCTGGCCATTCTTGCTATAATAGTTCATAAATAGATAATGAGAAATGAATATCTTGAAAATGTCAGTCAAATTACTTTATTGGCAAAGGTGTGGGTGTTTGAAGCTGTGACAAGATAATCTCCTTTCTCAAGCACCATTGCTACGATAATAACAAGTCTCTATTATACAATTCAACGTTGGATTATTAAATGGTGCATGTGTTCTAATATATTCAATAGCTCGACCATCCAGTGGTTTAGATTATTGACTTATCGTGTGAATAAATGTCTAAATAATAATTTATATAACATTTGAAGCTAGAAAAAAGGCAAATGTAGATCTTGCATATTTAATAGACGTAAAATGACCTTGTGAACAACTAACATCGAGGCCATTACAGTTTAGGATATAACAATTTTAACCGAGTATCTAAGGCAAGAAAAACATTAAAAATGTTACTTATTTAAGTTTCTTGAGCGTCAATATGAGGAAATTACTCAGTGACCATTATTTTCCCAAGCAAATTTGGCTTCTCATGTAATAAGTAGGTCTTCTCATCATTATCTTGTACGAGTCCTTTCATTCACAACAACACGTATTTGTTTTTCGCTTCCCGTAGGGGGGGGGGGGGGGTGGATGGCTGAATGGTTAGCGTGCGCGCGCTGTATCATAAAGTCTGTCATTGGGTCGACTGGTGTGGTTTCGAATCCCCGGTTGTACGTGACAAGGAGTAGGGTCGCCTGTCCAACCTCCCTCGTGGGTTTTCTCCGGGTCCTCCGGTTTCCTCCCACTGCTAAAGACCCCTACGAGCAAGCGAATTATGTAAATAAAATTAAACCATATGTTAGTCCCGAAATGACCTAGTTTATGTCGAGTGGACGTTAAACCCCATTTCTCTCTCTCTCTCGCTTCCCGTAGGAAATAATTACAACAAATCTTCAACTGATAAAAGCTTAATAAAAATGCATTTTATATATCTTAATAACGTAGAAATTCATTACCACTGTTTAAATTGAGACATTCATACAAAACCTGGTTATGTTTATAGACAGATCACGCATAGATCAGTAAATAAGCGAATGTAAAAATTCAAGAAAACATTTGTTTGAACATCCTTAAAATTTCTTATTCGCTTTATTGGTTATCTTCTCCTCTCTCTTTCGATTGCTCCCAAAGAACCCTTCACCCTCAGATATAACAATAATGACGTCAATATTGCCCTCTTCGGATATCTTCATTGATAGACTAGATTTTGAGATATTTTCACTGTCTAGATTAATGTACTTTACTGGTCCACTTGATTTTGATGACAGGCTCGATAATTGGCGAAGTCTTGATCTCTGTGACATTTCATTCTCTATATATACACAAATAGATATCCTAAAGAATAATCGAATTTGCAAATCATTGGAGGAATGTTTTATAAGCGGTTACTAAAATATTACTATAATTTTCTCCCCAAGTTGCGCTTAATTAACGCATTATTTAAAAAATCTGATACTTAATAATAAGTTATTAAACTGGATCTTACATCTAAGACTTTCTATCAAACGAGAATAGACTTTAAAACAAAGTCATGCCACAAGTTCAAGACTTACAAAAGGTCAGTGTTAAAAGTAACTAATTTTATTAGTCACTGTCATTAATTGTCTTATTCTTTATATAGCAGGTATTGTTAATTCGCCAGACACTACGGTCTCCCACATTTTAACGTAACGAGCTCGTGGTCGTAATTGTGTTTTTCAGATGGGTATTAAACTCTAACCATCTGCAAGCGACTAGGCAGCCAACCACGAGTCCATAAAATCAATTCTCAGACTATAAGCTATAGCATATATTATTATACCCGTTACCTTTTAGAGGAAATGCCATCATTACAACGATATTTTGCAATTTGAAACTACTAGCATGCTATATCTTCAGCTGGCTATAAGTAGTGGTGATCATTGTCGTGCACGGTGTGGCATTCGAGTTCACGCTCTCCCACACCAGATCACAATCTACATCAATTTAAAAAATCCATTTTTAGAGCTTACATGCCTTATAAAGTGCCCCCCCCCACCTAAAAAAATATGTTTTGATTCTTTGAAACTAATTTCAATTGCTTACGTTTTTTTTTTTTTTATAAAATCTACTGTATGAGATATGTATATCATAATTTACTCATATTGTTGATATTTGCAATCAAAGGAAATTCGATAGTAACGGAAGTGCAATTCATCTTCTATTTCAACTCAGTATGAGACCTTGTATTCGTCAAAATCTTTAAGGACTGTTAATTTGATTTACTGTTTTCAAGAGAAATCATTAAGGCTTCAAATAGTTCAGTTTTATTTTAAGATCTTCGATAAAATAATTGCCATAAGTAGGGTGTGCCAGATAATTAAGTTATAACTGGTGGTAATGAGAACGTTGAGTCTAGTTAGTTATTATTGACATAATTCTATATACTATCAAAATTCAAAAGGGGATGAGTATGCAAGATATGTAACCCCGTTACACGATAAGGGTTTTGTACTGGAGTGAGCGCAATCATAAATGTACATCATTATTGTTATTATTATTGTATCGGGCAGCAATGACACAAGACGGATTAATGTGCATCTTTGAGCAGAAGACCGTGGCTACTGGATCAACGTTTGTGTAAATGACTAAAAATGTTGTCGTCTGCAAAATCGATTGCATTTGAATTTTGTTGGCATTTCTTGCAATGCCCCCAATCGATTATGGTACACACAAAAATGATACAATGTTTGAGGAATTATTGGGTTATCATAAAATAAAATGAATTCTTATCTCTGCAGACCTTGGACTGTACAGCGTGGTAAATGGGTACGCTTAGCTCCTTGACCCATTCATTTTTTCGGATAATAGTGTTTTTGTCTGACAATGTCCCCGCGTTGTTCATGTTATGGGTTTTCGTCATGTTCCGGGTTTTATCTTCTGATTTATCTTCCTATTAGACTTTTTCACATAGTTCCCCAAATTTCCATGCACCTAAACAGGAATCACATGGGTCCATCAGTAGTTTAAAACATATTGCAGAATGTGGAATTGGGGGGGGGGGGGAAACATAGTTTAATATTCAAACATACAAATTGAAAATTTAATCCGCCGGGAAAGGGACAATTTCTAGAATAAATATATGATACTCGCGATGTTTGTTGGTAAACAAATTCCACTTTAATGAATAGTGATGACATACAGTATACAGGCTTGGCAAATAAAACACGCTCCCAGGTGACCCAACGTTTTAAATGTGCAGTTTCCATAAACCATTAAAACGAAATCCCATTAAACTGATTTATATGCAGATTGCAGATTTTCTCAATTTTTATTGTTAGAAATCGATGATGTTCACTTTTCACAACTTCGATCCCCGATTAAATGTCTGAACCGTTAACGAGAAAACCTGTATGTCTACTAATTTTCTGAACCATCGGATTTACCTCTGTAATAAAATGAAGAAAATAAGTTTTCCTCACCCAAATTTTAGAATAGTAGAAATTCAGCGCATAC